GAATTGGTCCAAGGGCCTAGGATGCACCCAACATTCACTAAAAATGCCAAATAAGGAATTCCATAGACAAACAGTGGCAGAACAATGTAATAACTGTTGTGCAAATGATTCTGAGTGAGCACCACTCACTACACACCTATCAGAGGAAAGAGCCTTTGTGGCCTGTTAACTTGCAACATTTCATTAGTATTTATTTTTATTTTTTGTTAATAAAAACATGTCATTAGCGTTACTTGAGATTAAAGAATAATTGTATATTGAATAATCATAGTGTGTTACAATGTACAAGAGCTCTCTATTTAAAGAGACTAAAAGACCTAATGGGCTAAGCCCACAAGATGTGGGACTATATACACTGAACTATTCTAACAACTATTCTAACCCTTCCCCTCAAGCTGGAGCATATATATTGTAAGCACCCAACTTGCCACAAATATATTCAACCCGAGGACCCCTAAGAGCTTTAGCGAAGACATCCGCGAGTTGATCATTGGAGTTGACAAATGCCGTTTTGATTTTTCCTGATTGAATCTTTTCTCGAATGAAATGACAATCGATCTCTATATGTTTGGTTCTCTCATGAAATACAGGATTAGAGGATATATGTAGTGCAGCTTGATTGTTACAAATGAGAGTCATTGGTTGTTTCTGTTCACAAAGATGGAGCTCCCGAATCAACTGTTTTAACTAGATTAGCTCGCAGGTAGCAACTCCCATTGCACGATACTCGGCCTCTGCACTAGATCGGACAACAACAGTTTGTTTCTTACTTTTACAAGAAATCAGGTTTCCTCCAAGAAAACACAATAGCTTGAAGTAGAGCGCCTATCCGAGGGTGATCCTGCCCAATCGGCATATGAATAACCACAAATTTATGTTTTCCCTGATCTGAATATAATAAACCTTTCCCTGGTGCTTCTTTGATGTAACGGAGGATCCTAACAGCAGCATTCCAATGAGAATCACATGGAGAATCAAGAAACTGACTAGCGACACTAGCAGCAAAAGAAATGTCCGGCCTAGTCACAGTGAGATAATTGAGGTTCCCAATCAACCTCCGATAACGTCCAGGATCAGATAATGGTTCTTCTTGTCCGGGTAGTAATTTGATAGTAGGATCCATGGGTGTATCAACTGGCTTACACCCCAACGTACCAGTCTCTTCTAGGATATCCAAGGCATAACCAAGAAAGTTACACTGAAAGGCTTTGGATGTTAATTTATCTTTACCAGAAGTGAGATCATGAACAAAACAAATACAACCAAAGACATGTGGAGTTAGAGGATAAAAATGAGCATCTGGAAACAATAGATTATGAGAAATGTCATTGTTGATATGAGCACAGATGAAGGCATGAGATTGATGAGAAAACAAGAGATGAGTACAACGTCTGCCCAGAAGTGAAGAGGAACCTGCATGTGAATAAGAAGGGTACAAGCAGTTTTAATGAGATATCTGTTTCTACGTTCAACCACCCTATTTTGTTGTGGAGGGTGAGGACAAGTGGTTTGATGTAAAGTACCTTGTGTAGCCAATAAATTAGAAAAATCAATAGAATCATATTCCTTAGCATTATCACTACGCAGAATACGAATAGAAACACCAAATTGAGTATGAATCTCAGTAGGAAACTTTTTATAAATGGAAAATAACTCAGAACGATTTTTCGTTAAATAGATCCAAGTACAACAGGAAAAATCATCAATAAAGGTAATGAAATACTGAAAACCTAAAACAGACAAAGTACAACTTGGACCCCAGATATCTGAATGAACAAGAGAGAAAGGAGCATCAGCTCGTTTATTAACTCAATTGGCAAAAGAGGAGCGTGCATGCTTCCCTTGTTGACACGACACACAATCTAAAGAATGAAGACCGGACAAAAGACGAACCATCTTCTGCAACTTCGAAAGACTTGGATGACCGAGACGACTGTGGATAAGTTGTGGAGATTCTGTGAGAGAGCATGCCACTGAAGGACGAGGCACAACCAGATAGTAAAGCCTCCCTGTGACTCACGACCCACTCCAATCATATTCCCCGTATCGGGTCCTGCACAGAAACAGAATGGTTAGAGAAAGCAATGGTGCAAGTGAGGGAGGGGATCAATTTACTAATAGAAATTAAGTTATAAGGAATGCTAGGAATGTAATAAACAGATGACAAGGTCAAGGTAGAGGTCGGACGAGCTTGTCCAATCCCACGAACTAGGGCTTTGGTTCCATCAGTAAGGGTAAAAGAAGGTAAATGATCAGAATAAGTAAGAGATGTAAAGAGTTCCTTATTACCACAGAGATGATCGGTAGCACTTGAGTCAAATATCCAAGTGCCAAGTGGTGTAGAATGAGAAACACAAGCGATGAGATTATCAGTATCTGGAGCGGAAGGTTGAGACTGAGGAGAAGCCTTCCTGAGAAGAGTCTGGAGTGCAACATAGTTCGCAGGTGAGAGAGAAACTGAACCAGATGATGCACTGTCTGACTGAGCTATATTCGCAGCAAGAGAAGTGGCCCAATTCTTGTAGTTATCAGAATCCTTTAGTTTGGAAGATGTAATGGGCCCAACATCAGTACAAATGATTCCTGAGGAAGTTTTGGCAAGAGGAGAAGGAGAGTTAACCTTCGAGAGATTAGGGGACGCTGCTGCCATTTAAAGACAAAATATAAAAGCCGTAAATGAAGGCAAACGATATCCAATCAAGGAGAATCACGCATCTAAAATGAGACCTACAAAGAACCAAGCACAGATCCGGAAAGAGGAGGAAAAATCGAGCTAGTATGTCCAGGAATGACGGCAAGGGTGACGCATGAGCACCACTTGCAGGGAGAAGGAGCGGCGCGTGAGAGCGCGTGGGGACTCCTCTGATGATGGGTCTTCCACAGACTTGGTCGCCGGAGAGAGAGCACTCTGGTTGCAAGCTTTCCGGTTGAAATCGACGTCGGAACAGTGCTCCGGTAGCCTGAACAGTGACGAACGGTGGTTGTTGGCAGCGGGCAGTGGTTCTGACGGTTGAAGAAACAAGCCGGAGAGACACACGGTTGAAAAACTTGTCGGAAGAATGAACGGCAAAGTAAAAGAGAACACCTAAGCAGTGGGCTTAGGGTTTTAGCGGAAGCGGATTCCTAGAACGAAAAAGCTTTGGTACCAACTTGAGATTAAAGAATAATTATATATTGAATAATCATAGTGTGTTACAATGTACAAGAGCTCTCTATTTAGAGAGACTAAAAGACCTAATGGGCAGAGCCCACAAGACGTGGGTCTATATACACTGAACTATTCTAACAGTGTTAATTCTATTAAGCCCCAATGTTTATATAAAAGACTAGTCCTTAGCTGGAGCTTTGGATTCCAAAGGTTTTTTTATCAGGAAGCGAAGTGGCCCTAGTTCAAGGAAGAGTGAGGAATTGGAAAAATAATTTGCATGAAAACAGGTTGTGATTTGGACCAAATCCTTTTATTTGGGTTAAGGAAGACAAATGAATAGAGTCAAGGAGAACCAAGATGAACTCCAATTCATAATATTCCATTTCCTTTATGAAAAAAATGGATGTTGCATGAAAAACAGAAATCTGGACAGAAGAATTGTGTAAGGAAGACAATAAAAACCAGTGAAGGCATAACTAATAGGGAAATCTCATACTCAATGCTCCCCCCAAACGTTGATGTGAGAGCTGTTGCTGATTTATTTTATTTTATTTTTTCGCATGCTCAAATTTTGGGAAATTTTTTGGGTTTGAGTTTGTATTAGGCCCAGTTCTAGGGTGAATGGCAAACTCTGTGCCTCTTGACTAATGGTCCAAATGGAATGCCCGGAACCTCAAAGGTTTATACTAGAAGAAATAAAAGAGGCCAGAATTGGGAAAGTCTTGAATAACTTGTTGAGTTGGCAAGTTAGTTATGCTGAAATGGGTTATTCACATGACTGAGGTGGTTATAAGGCCTGGAGAGAGAGAGAGAGAGAGAGAGAAGGTTAGTGCGTTGTTGTTGTTTTGTTTTGCTAGTATTTTGACCTTAAGCTTTGTTGAGATATATAGTCCCATATTGGTTGTATGTGCAACTAATGTGGAGTTTATAAGGTCTTGGGCACTCCCACCCTTTGAGCTAGCTTTTGGGGTGGTGTATCCCAAGGTTCTTTACAGAGGCAAAGAAATTTCTCTTTGCCGAGCCATAGGTTCTGTGTATTTTCTGGGTTTAGGAGTTTCTATCCTCATGTAATCTTTCATTTATTTATTTTTCTTCAGTTGATACTTGATATAGTACTTGATTTTTCTCCCGTGGTTTGGACTCTATCAGCTTATGAATGTGAATATCATTCATCACATTGTGTGCTTTATACGCATGAATCAAATGAAAATATGAAGCTTTGGAATACAATAATATGAAGCTAGAAGCATAGAGTTTCTTCATGAGATCTCTCTTGGGCTAATGTTTTCGTCCTTTATTCCTTTTCTTTGTTTGTTTTTTGGGGGTTTGGCTATCACTCCTTTTTTATGCTTGGTGTTCCTCTTCTTTTTCTCTATGAAACTCCATCCTTTTATCACCAAAATGGAATGCATAAGCTTGACAAGCAGTAGCTTCTGGGATGTAGTTCCTTGTGCATAGATGTTCATATATTGTTATTATTCCCTGAGTTGTATTTCTCTTTTTTTCCTAATAATTTTTCTTTTCTCTATAAAAAAAATTATATGTAAAAATTATTCATAACTTCACTTGAAAAGAGAAAAACTGGAAAAATATTATCGCTTTCATAAAGAAACATGTACAAATAAGTTACAATATATAGAGAGAGACTCATGGGGTCTAAAAGAATTAACGCAAATCCTAAAAATAAGGAAACACTAATTTGGCTAATAAAGAAAACAAATAATTATAGATATTTTCCATATTTACGACAACTTCGGATGTGGTTGTAGATTTATATCCTCTATATTAGATTATCAATTAATCTGTTTTTTGTTGTTTTAAATTATATTTTGGTTCCAATTTTGGCTTTCAGCATTACTGCATCTGTGACAAGCAGCACGGAGAAAATAAAAACAAAAACTGTTATTGTGATGGAAAATGAAAAGATGTGGTTACAATTGAATCAATTTCCGAAGAAGGTTTTCATTTTTCACATTTTCAATGTGGCTTATTTACTTTTAGTCCTCTCATTCTATTAAAATTATGCTTCGGTAATTTTTGTTTCTTCTTGTAATATCATATAGGTTCCTCTTATGATAGTAATGAAAGCTATGGGGATGGAGACTGTTCAAGAAGTTATACAAATGGTTGGAAGAGATCCTCGTTATGGTTCACTACTTGTGCCCTCTATTGAGGTAATTGATATACATTTTTGGTTATGTCAAATATAAAAATGCTTTTGCTCAAAGTAAATTATAAGAGATGGGAGAAACAAGGGACTTGTAAAATTCATTCCAGACTTCTCTGCTTGTTCTTAGCTTACACACTGCATATTTTATTGTTATTTAATGTGGAATATGTTTTTCCCCATAATTAGGAATGTACAAAAAATGGTGTACATACACGAGAGCAAGCATTGGAGTACCTTGATTCAAAGGTGTGTTGTTCTTTCTTATTCTTGTGCAATTATTGTCATAATTTCTTTCTTGTATTCTTTGGTCTGGAGGTGGACCATTACAGACTTTGGTATTTTCTTATCTATAAAGATGCCATAGAGGGAACTCCAAATTACGACTTAGGTATTGCAATTCTTAGTTCTTGTTAAGAGGAAGATACATGTGATGAAATTTGTGTTTGAATTTGGTTGGCCTTTTAAGTTGGTGTATCAACACTGAAGACCAAAATAGAACGCCCAAGTCCAACAAAATACAGAAAGGGAAGCAAAAATGATAGAAAGGAGAGATTTGGAAGGAGAAAGAGTGACTTAGTTACAAGGAGAGACATATGGTAGACTGTGAATGGAGAAGGAGAAAGAGGAGGTATTGGAATTGCAGCTTGAGTTGGTTATAAGTGGAGAAAATGAAGAGAGGCAGACACATATTGATTATACCTTTAGAATGGGAAATTGGGATCTTTTGAGGACTTGGGTTGAATGATTATAAAGAGTGAGTGAGGGGTGGTTCTTAGCCTATTTTTCATGGGCACTTTTCCTTTGTTTTGCTGTTTCTTAAGGATATCACTGTTACCTTGTGATAATCCTCATTTAATTGTTTTTCTTTTTGTACTGGGTGATCTTGTAAGAGTTTATCTCCAATTTTCAATAATATATAATTCTGGTACCATCAATTTGATACCAGAGCTCCTGACTTGTGGGGGCGCTGAATGGTTCAATCATGAATGGAGGCAAGAGTTGAAGAAATTGGACACCGACTGGCATAGATGGACCAACGTAAAGAATGAATAGAAGGTAGAATTGGAGGAGTGGAAGCTTCCATCCATCATATGAATGAGAATCTACTAGCTTACATGGACTGTATGGATTAAAGGATGGGGGTAGTGGATGCACACAACAAAATGCTACTGGGGAAAGGAAAATGATGACTCCATTTGAAGGAAAACAATGAATGCTAGAGTAAGAAAGTATGCGCAAGGTGGAAATCCCTTACTTCACTGGGGAAGACCTGTATTGGTGTATGTTTAGAGTTGAAAGGTAGTTTAGAGTAAAGCGAGTGCCAGAGGAGGAACAAGTTGAAGACGCGTCCATTTGTCTAGAAGAGAAGACACTAAATTGGTTCTAATGGTGGGAACCTATTCATCCAATAATTACGTGGAAGACACTTCGAATGACAGTGCTACAACAATTCCATGTGTTGTCATTAGTGAGCCCTAATGAAGCCCTCTTGAGTTTGAGGCAAGACAGTACGGTGGCTGATTATCGTGAACAATTCGAGATGCTATCAGCCCTACTCGGTCACGCCGACTGCGAGATGATGCAAGCTGCCTTCTTAAATGGTTTGAAGGAAGAAATTTGAATGGAGGTTCAAATTCATTTTGCGAACAACCCAGACTTAGGCCAAATTATGTGTTTGGCACAAAGAATAGAGGATAAAAAGATGGTGTGTAGTCAGGTTGGAGGTGGAGTGATAACGGGCGAAGTGTTTTGCATCACGCTGCCTTTCTTTGACTTGGTACTCTCTCGACATTTTTGGCAATTCCACCAATCGCCATCGGTTTTTCGTTTTTCTGGCAAGGCCGCCTCTCTTCCCATAAGCCTACATCTTTTTTCTTGCTTGGTTTGGCTTTATGTGAACTTTCCTGTAGTGGTTATATCAATACTCACTATCCTGCCATTGTGTTTTTATGGTCGACTACTATGTGGTGCTATCCGTGATCCTACGATTTGAGTATTACCTTGTCTTCATAAAACAATCCTTGGCATGGATCAATTTTAATGTATTGTAAGATTTGTACAACTACATTCCAATGGTCAACAGGTGCAGATTCCTCGAATTGGCTCACTACATTGACTGCAAAGAAAATGTATGGTCTAGTTATTGTAAGGTAGTTCACTTTCCCAACTAATATCTTATACCTGCTAGGATCTGAATAAGGTTTTCGTTGGTCTGGTAGTAGTTTACTTTTCACATCCATCGGAGTTTGAAATTACAATATCACATTCCTTGTTTGATCTACCTCAAAACCATGAAACTACTTAAGTTTACCTTAGTCTTTGTTCTGAAAGTGATTGAACAGATGTTCCTTTGAGCGATATATGCCATCATGACCATTGCCTGTAATAACTATATTATCAACATAAACTATCGGATAAATAGATTGACCAGATGGAACATGTCAATAAAAGAATGAATTATTAGCTTCAGTCCGTCTACCCAATCTCTTGCACAACAATACTGAACTTACCAAACCAAGCTTGAGGAGATTGTTTCAACTCATAAAAAGTCTGTTTCAATCTGAGCTACAAACCTGTGGTTACTCCATATAAATCTTTTCTTCAATGTCCTCATGAAGGAAGGCAATCTTGCTGTCTAGGTTATACAATGGCCAAAGTCCAATGGTTGCCATGGAGAGAGGCAAACAAGAGCCATTTTGGCTACTAGAAAGAATGTACGATTGTCGTCAAGACCGTAATTCTTAGTGTTTTTTTGCAACTAGGTGTGCTTTGAGATGACCAATGTGACAATGTGGGCTGCCTTGACAACATATTCTCATTGGCAATAAACAATCGTTTTCCTTAGAGGAAGAGCAATCAAGTCCTATGTAACACTGTGCTCAAAGGGCAATCATCTCATCAATCATGGCCTACCTTCTACCAAAGTGTGAAAGGGACTCACCAATAGATTTAGGGAGCCAAATAGAAGACAAGGAAGACAAAAGCATAATTCGATGGGGATAAATGGTGAAAACTCAAAAAATTATAAAAAGGATGAGGATTGTGAGGGGGCCATATTCTTATTCGAATGACAATAGGAAAATTAGTGACAGACTCACAAGGAACCAAATAAGTCCATAGTAGGGGAAGCCATTGGAGTAGGACATGATTCATGAGGACCTTGACGACTTCCTCAGTCATAGGAATTATCACCTTTGGGTGACGTTGATAGTTGTTAAGAGGGTGTGCGAGAGCTTCTCCGCCGACAACTCTCGAAAGGGTTGTTGATTGGATGATTCTGGTTGGACTTAGATTTCTGGCGAGGTGGGTGTCTACCTAGATCGCGGCTGGGACTGTTTGGACGAATTATGTTTTGGGACAAACTGCTTAGGGTTTGCTAATGGACGATCTGGCTCTAATTCCATGTGGAATAGGACTTGAGAATTGCTTGAGGAAATCCTCGACAACATGTTCTATTTATGCGTGAGTTACAATCTCTAATAACAGAAAACTAGGAATTCACAATCTTTTATATAAGGAAACTAAGAAACTAGGGAATTAAGAAAAATAATACAAATCAGGTCCTAATTATTTAGAGAATAAAAATCCCTAAATAGGAGATATAGAAAGTATTTTCCTAAATAGAAGATATTTTCCAACAAAATCTATTAAACACTTTTTAGAACAAGTCATGGATACTTGTTGAGTAATGTACTGAAGATGACAATTTATTGACTGTTGCTGATTTTGATTTATATACCTTTCTCAGTGTTTCTAATTTTACATACGTACACATAATATTTGTTGTTTCTTATTTATTGCTGATGGCCTGTGTACTCATCAGGTGAAACGTCCCATGTATTCAAACAATTTATCTGAAAAGGTTTCAATTCTCTCTCTCTCTCTCTCTCATATTAGTTTGTATATTAATACATTTCATGCTATGGATAAATAATAATTAATATGTTTTTTCCTCTTCAACTTTGTGAATTTATCATTTGAACCTTTTATATAGGAAGGAAGAGCATTTTCTATCTTAAGAGATGTTTTTCTTGCAAATGTCCCGGTAAGTTTTCTTTGACTTCTACATCTCTTGAATTTTAAGTGTGTTTTTTTTTCTTTCTGATATTTTAGTTTCATGGCTGGACAATTTGATTTCATTCTATTCAGTATACATGTAATTAGCTTTTGATGTGTTTGGTTTGGTCTGAATCGCTACTTCTTCTGTCGGTTTTAGGTGCATGAAGATAATTTTCAGCCAAAATGTATATATGTTGCTGTTATGACGAGACGCATATTGGATGCAATTCTAAATAAAGATGCAATGGATGACAAGGTAGTATCTTCTTTTTAATATGTGAGCTTATGTAACTTCTGAAAGGGGACTACCAGACTAGGTTATGTAATGAAAATAGTAATAGTCTAATTATGTAATGAAAAGGTCCCATCATTTGTTTCACTCAATTGCCATAATTTTTTCTGCTCTAGCCTATCACCATCCAAAATTAGTAGAAATTATAAAGTTCTTCCAAAAAGGTGTAGGAACAAAACCAGAGTCTAAAGAAGCACTATAAGAGTGAGCCACTATATGAGATCATGTAGTGCATAACAAAAATTGAATGGTATGGGATTGTTTATCTTTTAGAAGGTAAATTGGAAGATCAAGACTAGGATCTGAAAGGACCTCTAGCATTATTGCAATCCCCCAAGTAAAACACCTACAATCCAGTTGGAGAACTTGGATCTAGAAATGAAAAAATTGATGTTTGAGATGGTGGATCTGTTGGTGGGACATGTAGCAGCAAGTTCCCTGTCTGGTTATTGAATTTGTAGAGTGTAGAATTGCATCATAGGTGGTAAAATCAATAAATAATACTATACACATATAGGTAATCGTTAAGAATCTTAAGATCAATAAAGGAAGGTGGTAGAAGTGAAGTGGTGGAAAGGAATCGGCTGGATGCAGAAAGTAACATTGTTCTCTAGATTCTTATTTATATTAGGGTAAATTACACATTAAAACCCTGTAGTTTCACCCTTTTCAAATAACTGTTTTGATCTGAACCCTTTTTTATGTCACTTAACCCCCTCAACTTGGGTTTAAGTTGAAAGTGATAACTTCAATTAATTTTGATGTCAGCTACTGTTTATTTTACACTTTACCTCCTTTTGATTTAACACTTTTTCAATTTACTCCCCTGACTTTATTTCTTATTTTACACATTTTCCCCCTAAAAAATAAACTTTAGGGGACGGCTGAGAAAATGTTAAATTGTCGTTCAAGCTAACTGAAAATTAATGTTCTCGACTTGAACTAAAGTTGATGACACAAAAACATGTTGAGGGAGGTTATTTGAAAAAATAGTAAAACTACTACGAGGGTTAAAGTGTAATTTACTCTTTATACAACTAAATAGTGGTGTATTACCATGTCTAATACTTTAGTATGCTAATTTCTATACTTATATGATACTATTTCTACACTTTTCTCAACTTGGCGCTTCTACATCATATATACCAAGCTTGTCAGAAATGTAGTTACTTTAAGGAGGTTAGTGAGTATGTAAACTAATTAATCATTTGAATTGATAAACTAGTAGTGATACCTCATCAACATCAACATCATCGTCATCCCAAATTAGTTGGCGGTGGGCAAGCGATGAATCCAAATAAAATCAGAACAGATTGTCAGAGAAGAAATGAACTAGTAGTGATACATCTAGATAAAATGTTTTCTCGGTTAAAGTGGTGATGCACTTTTATGTATTTGTTCTTTAATGAAAAACTCTGTTGAGGGCTGTTAAAATTTTTAGGAAATCTCATAATATTATTATTGTTTTTTTGAATCTTTTGAACTATCTTAGATGATCTCTTAGGATTGGTTTTCAATATTTCCTTATATTTTATGATTTATTTATTTTTTAATTAATTAGGATAAACAAGTAGTGTATTACAAAAGTACAATAGTACGTTAGATACTATTTTGGAAACTATTTCTACACTTAGCAATCCTCATTTGCTGATAGGTGTTTCCACTGCATGGTTTGCTATTAGCTTTTGATTTTCACAACGAAGGTGAAGTTCTTGTCATATTTCAAAGCCATCCTAGAAATTGGAGAATATACACAGAGAAGCCAAACTGATTTTCTTTTTTGTAAAAACGTAATTTAACTAAAGCAACCTGATTTATTCTTCATCCAAAATAATTCTTTTATGGTGAAAGATGATCTGCAAAATTAATAAAATTATAACTAAATAATATCCACTATGTGTAGATTTTGTGTGTGTGTGCATGTATGTGGGCAAGAGTTAATAATCATCTGCTAACTGTTTTTTCCAACTCATAGGATTATGTGGGGAACAAGCGGTTGGAGTTATCTGGCCAGTTAATATCTCTGCTTTTTGAGGTACTATCCTGTTTAATTTAATAGACATTTGACTTCTGTAGATATAATTCTCACATTTTTCATTGCCTGAATTGTTATTCTTCTTTCTCTTGTAGGATCTTTTTAAGTCAATGACAACTGAAGTTAAGAATGTCACAGAAAAAATGATGGATAAGCCAGACAAGGCTAAGAAGTTTGACATTTCTATGGTAAGCAACTTGAAAACTTGGCAGATGTAAAGATGGAAATATTCTGAATGTTATTTTCTTATGATCAATGTATAGAATGTATTAATATTATATAGACCTATATCAATAATTTCTTACCTAAAAATTGAGCTAAATCCAAGAAAACAAATCTCTCCTAATAATAATAGAAACCCAATCTAAAATAATTCCATAATTATTCCTTTTATGTTTACAACAAAACACTCTTTAATATAGTTGAAATATGAGGCAATCTGTTTATTATTGCTTGAATGATCATGTACATGGGTTTACAATATATAGCCTACTGAGAATAATTGCTAATAATTTGTAAAGAACCAATTCAACCCAAAAGTTGAAGCTGTTGGATAAGACTATATTAATGGTTTTATATATCTCTAACACGTTCCCTCACACGAGGGCCCACTAAGCTTGAAGGGTGGACAATGCACAGACTCACCTACCTATGCTAAGAAATTCCACAAGAGAAAGTGGGAGCGGTGAGGGTCGAATTCGTGACACTGAGGCTCTAATATCATGTAAAGAAACAATTCAACTCAAAAGTTTAAGTTGTTGGATGAGGCTACATTAATGATTTTATATATCTGTAACATAATTGCTTTCCTAATTATAGAGCTAATTCTAGGGAAACGAATAAGGAGTAAATCAAACCAATAATCTGTCACACAATGTCCCCATAATCTGTCCTGTCATAATCTGCCTAATAAAAGGGGAAAAAAATCAATAATAATAACACAATTGTACTTTCTTTGTTTACATCAAATATTCATAATCAAGCATCATACAAATGGATTCAAATCATTCTTGAATATATCCAATCTTGCTGAAGCTGTCTAAAAATCTCTGGCTAGTCGAAGAGTTGCTTCTATAAAATTATCTTTCCATCTCATTCTCTTCTCATTTATTTTGGACTTGTCAGTCCAAGTTGATTCCTTTTTATTTATTTATTATGCATGGGTTTGTCCCTTTGTTTAATTTTTTTATAATTATTTATTTTAATTTTATTTTTATTTTTCTCTCTTATTTTATTTTTCTTTTTCTTTATTCTTTTTTACTTTTCATCTGTGTTCATCGACCGCCAACCCCAACTAGTTTGGGATAAAGGGGTTTTTGATGTTGATGTTGGTTTGTCCCTCTGTGTCTTGTTAAAATTTTTCCTAATCCAAAAATCAGAAATGAATGAAAATTCTATGACATAACTTGTATGGTCTACGAATTCAATCTGCACTAAGTGCAAATGTATTGTTATTAGAGACAAAAAGCATCTTTGAGAGAGATTTAAAGCCTTAATCCTGTATCCGTCCCGAACAGGATTGTCTCCTGTGGAGAATACTTATGGTTTGTCCAAAAAAAGCAGGAGCAATTTGTGTATGCTTTAGCTCATGTGAAGTTTACAAACAGTCAATATCTCAACGGAATGTGGTTTTCTGGCAAGTTTATGATCTTCATGGTTTGATGGTTTGTTGGGAATTTCCATTGTTGAGATGTCTCTAGATGTTTATTTATTCTTGTTATTCTTAGTGTCATCAATGTGAAATCTTTAAACTGTGGTTTGTTTTTACACCTGAAAGAGAGACACTGCTGATTTCATCATTTTATGTTTGTTCTGAGTTGTTGTCTTTTGCTTTGTTCATCTTACTCTATGTTTAGTATGTCTGTATTTATATTTGCGTTTTCTCTTTGGGTGTGTTCATAGATTCTTGGTCGAGATATTATCACTCTTGGTTTGGAGAGGACTCTCTCCACTGGTAATTTTGACGTAAAGAGGTTCAAAATGGAAAGGAAAGGAATGACACAGGTTGTATTTTGTTTTCCTTTCTAATATTTCCTTTGTATCTCTTGATTCATTATAAACAAAGTGACTTCATCTGGCTCAGATACTTAGGGACACACCTAAGGGGCTTGGGGCTTGGGATTATCTATCGCACAAGACTTAATTCCTCTGATGAAATTCTCTATTCGCAGGTGCTACAAAGGTTATCATTTATAAGCGCTTTGGGCCAAATGACAAGAGTGTCACCTCAGTTTGAGAAGTCCAGGAAAGTAAGTGGACCTAGAGCTTTGCAGCCTAGCCAGGTGAGCTGCAATCGAGTTGGGAACTTTGACATATCCTTCTTATATTGCATTGGTTGTGGATAGAAAACAATGGCATTGTCTGATCCTTGTTGCTGACCCCATCTAGTGTGAAAAGACTTTGACAGTTGTTGTGGTATTCTGATAAGGTCCTTAACTCAAAAAATAAAATTAACAACAGAGAATCAAGTGTTTTTGGCCTGGTAAACCAGAGTTTTCTTATATTGAGGGAAATCAAAAGACAATTACAGAGACTATGACGCTACAGAGACAATTTAACAAAAAAAGGAAACAGTTACAAGAACCAAAATTGCTCAACACTATAGGAAAGCTTGATAACAGATAGTGTCAGACATTCGAGAGGTACCACTCTCTCCCAAGGTCCTTTTCCAATCCAATATCCCAGCGTGATGCTACCCACACCCCTCCCTTCCTCTTAACTACTTCTCCCGCAACCAACTTGCTATTCCCTGCTTGCATTCTTTTAGAGGGTATAATGGTCATCCCATTCACTTGGACCCACTGCAATTGAACCACAACTACCAGTCTCCTCACTTGGGCCAACTTTTGCATTTGAGACCCAAGTTCTCCTATTTTTATCCCTTATGTAAGCCTTTATGGGCTGGGTCGTATCATATTCTAATTTTGCTTAGGTTTTTTATTCTAAATATATAAAATCTTATCTACTTATGAACTCATACCTTATTTTCTGATGTCTTCCATGTGATACAGTGGGGCATGCTTTGTCCTTGTGATACTCCTGAAGGTGAATCTTGTGGACTGGTAAAGAACCTTGCTTTGATGACTCATGTTACTACTGATGAAGAGGAGGCCCCCCTGATTTCTCTGGTACGTTTTGTCTGTTATTATAGAGGATGAGATTTTCCTTTATTTTTTGTTTGTATTAGTATTTTGTAAACTATATATAGGTGTTTTATCCAGGTAGTGGGGTTTATAGCATCTCCAAAATTTTTGTGGCTAAAATTCAATTTAATTTAATTTTCGAGGGCTCTGATACTAGATCTATTACCAATTTAACTGACCCAACATCAGCTGTTAGAAGGCTACCCTAGAATTAATGTTAAGTTTTTTTTATTTTGATTTCTGTTTCTGTTATTTTTGTGTGTGTAAATCTGACTGTCATCGACTCTTTACTAGCCTATCATAATTCAATAAGTTCCTACCAATAGTAGTTTAGATAGTTCATTGGAAAACGGAAGCCTGGTAGGAATGCCTATTTTTTTTGTTTAGTTGTTTATCAATTTGATTTTCGATATCATATTGTTCTAGAATTTATCAGGTTGCTACTGCATTTTCTACAGAGACATCTTGGTTGATTTATTTGAGACATTGACTGTATTGCCCCCTTTTTGAAAATAATATATCTGAATGCCAGAGTCGAAATTTTTTCCAAACTGCCACGACACCATAGTTGTTGAGGTAGTCAGCTACTATGGACTGGACACGTGTCACGTCTCCAGTCGCTACATAATGTAGCTACTTTGGTGCAACCAAGCCTGCAAGTCACTGGGGACGTGACACGTGTCCAGTTCATAGTAGTTGACTACCTCAGCGACTATGGTGCCATGGCAGTTTGGAAATTTTTTTTGATTCTGTGGTATTTAGGTATATTATATATAAAAATGGGGCAGTACGGCCAGTGTCCCGATTTATTCTATATGATCACTTTTTGTCCGGAGGTGAAAGCAGCTTTAAATTTAACTGGCACAAGCAATGCTTTTAAAACTAAAGTTTTGTTATTCTCCTGCCTATCGGTGGCTGTTTAAAGGGCCTTTTATGGAGGACCTTCCTTTGTACATGCTAGGGCTGATTTTGCTTTCTTTGCTCTTGTCTGTTGCATTTTTATCTTGTTATTTATGTAATTATTGGAATAGAATTGTGTCTATGACCACTCTTGGTGCTCTTACCTTGGTTGTTTCAAGGATGTCTTTCACTGATATTCAGAGAGATTGGACAACTATGTTCCACTTTTTAGCCTCTTTGGCTCTCCGCAATCTCTCCCCCCTCTCTTTGGGAGATATCTTGTCCTCTCCAGTTGTATCTTCTCTTCCTTCTTTCTAAAAACATTTTCTCTTATAAAAAATTATGGGAATAGTTATTGTGCATCTATTTCAGTGTGTATTGTTTGATATAGATGCAAGATCCAACAGGTTTCCTATACAATATTGTTGACTGTAGGTGCATTACATTTTATAGTGTTTCATTATTTCCGTGACAGTGCTATTCTCTGGCTGTTGAAGACATGGAGCATGTCTCTGCAGAAGAGCTTCATACACCAGATTCCTTTCTTGTTATTTTTAATGGTTTGATCCTTGGCAAGCATAGGAGGCCACAGGTATTTGTCAGTCTTATATCAAATGTATAAAATACAAATATGCGTTCATGATTATATTCTAATATATTATAAACCTTAACATTGTTTTTCATTCAAGCGTTTTGCTACTGCAATGAGAAAGTTGCGGAGAGCTGGTAAAATTGGCGAGTTTGTGAGTATCTATGTCAACGAAAAGCAGGTGAATAGTTCCGTTGCAGTTGGTATTTTCCCATTTCTTTCCCGCCTCTACTATTTTCCCGTTTCCTGGTTCAGTTTTTATTTTTTAAATTCTTTTTTGTTCAAGTTTTAATTTGTGTTGCATATTTATCAACATCAACATCACCTTAACCCCAAACTAGTTGGGGTTGGTGGCAGCCAAATGAAAAGTACCAGAAAATTGAGGATTATGTTAATATGACAATTTTCTTTTAAAGTATCATGCTATGCTCATGATTTTGTGGTTGTAAATTGTTTGCATTTAATTTTTTTTCATTAGAGTACATGTTAAAGAGAGCAAGTTTGAAGTAGTGGTAAAACTGCTCCTATGTGACTGAAAGGTCACGGGTTCAAATCCGGAAAACCAGACCGGCTGGTACAACCGGTTGAACCAAGAAGAAAATCAAACAAGCAAAATGATTAGGTATCATTGAGCTGGCCTTAGATTGGATTCAACCAGTGCTAAACTAGTACCTTACCTAGGAGCTACATGTTTACTCTAAATCTATTATGTTTTCCATTTAAATATTTTACGTCTGCAACGATTTTAATGTTCAAAGTATGTGACCGAAAACTGGTATTAATGGAAAAAATCATGTTTCCAGCATTGTGTTTACTTAGCTTCTGATGGTGGTAGAGTTTGCCGTCCCCTTGTAATTGCTGACAAGGGAATATCAAGAGTCAAAGAGCATCATATGAAAGAATTAATAGTAAGTATATCATATGCTTTTATCTTGGAAATAAAGAAAGTAAGTTGTTTATGGGAATTCAACTTTAATGCTCTTTCAGGATGGAGTGCGTACATTTGATGATTTTTTACGTGATGGCTTGATTGAGTATCTTGATGTCAATGAGGAAAACAACGCTTTGGTTTGTTCTGCTCCAATTGCTTCAAGCTTCTTTTATCTTTGAAATCTTATTCTTGACAGCCATTAACCTCATTTGCTTATTTTCTTGGTTGTAGATTGCTTTATATGAAGGAGATGCCACATCAGAAACCACTCATATTGAGATTGAGCCTTTCACCATCTTAGGAGTTTGTGCGGGACTAATTCCATATCCTCATCATAACCAGTCACCTAGAAACACTTATCAGGTTGTTTGTCCTTCCCCCTCCCCTTCCTCTCTGTGTGTCTGATAGTTACATGAGATAGTGCACTCGATGAATGAAACATGTTCCCTCCAGCCTGAAATTACTTTTTGTTTTGCTCACTGTAGTGTGCAATGGGAAAGCAAGCTATGGGAAATATAGCATATAACCAGGTGAGTAACGTTTTGTTGGTTATGTGGGTTTAGTTGAGCAATTGCATGAAGTTTAGACTTGAGGAAATTATTTTTTCCAAATTTTTTAAAAATGAATTCATTTAATCTTATATTCTTTTTAATGAATGAATCAATTTTTAATAGCTTTATTCCCAAATGCATGCATGCTAGTAGATTATCATGAACTAACTCTAAAAGCTTAAATTGATTTGTGAAAATACAAGAATGATTTTTATAATATTATATTATTTCTCTAACAAAAAGGGGCGAACTGGAGCAGTGGTAAAGCTGTTCTTTCATGACTGAAAGGTCATTGGTTCGAATCCAGGAAATAGCTTCTTTGCAATTATGCAAGGGTAAGACTGCGTACAAGGATTATCTCCACCCCACACTCGCTAGTCGGGTTTAACGGGGAGTGGTTTTTGGTTTATATTATATCTCTAACACACCTTTTCATGTAAGAGTCTTTTTGACTTGAAGTGACTTACCTTACTCAAAATCAAATTTTAATTAGAAGAATATGGGAGGCAAGGGTTGAACTCTAGACCACTTGGACATAGAAGTTCGGATACCATATCATGAACCAACTTTCCCTAAAGTTTTAGCTATTAGGTGAAAACCCATGAATAGTTTTATATTACCTCTCTATCATTGATAAAAGCACATAAATTCATGTCCGCGTGGATCTAGAATTAAAATCCAAAAGATTTGCATTATTAAATTTTTTTGGCATAGACTTGGGGAACCTTGGCATAACAATTGTTGTAATGTGACCCATAGGTCACAAGTTTGATTCAATAAATCAACCTTGTTAGAGATATATAAAACCATTAATGTAGCCTCACCCATCAGTTTAAGCTTTTGGTTTGAATTGGTTGATTTGGTTTTTTAAATGGTATCAAAGTCTCGGTGTCACATGTTCGATCCTCACCACCCCCCATTTAATTAATAATTCAGTATTGTGGAGTTTTTTAGCATAGGTAGGTGGACCTGTGCATTGTCCACTTTCAAGCCCAATGAGGTCTCGTGTGAAGGGGCGTGTTAGAGATATATGAAACCATTAATGTAGCCTCACCCATCAGCTTAAGCCTTTGGGTTGAATTGATTCTTTATGAACCTCTTGCAAATGCAAGGTAAGACTGCCTACTATAGACCCACACAATGGGTCGGACCCTTCCTTGGACTCTGTGCGTAGGATATTTTTAAAAAGTTGGGTCAAATTTATGTCCTAATGGACCAAGGCTTAATCACTGAAGAAAAGGAATGGACCTCATAGAACGGGGGTGTACCTGATTTCTTGTCTAGTAATAAGCCACTTCTAGCAGCCAGGGAATTTCGAACTCTAGCTGTTTTTAGCAATGCCCCGCTGACCTCCCCGGTGCTAGGATTGTAGAGGAGATTTTCCATGAATTGGGAGCTATATCATTGAGATTCAAGTAATGGGACCAGAGTGGGAGATTCTCGGTGGATCACTATATATCTAGGCTTTTCACCTTAAGAACAAGGAGAAATTTTAGTGAGGAGTATTGTTTGGAATCCTCTATTTAGGAAAGTAGGTTAGAACTAAGAAGAAATAAGGATGGCTAACAAATGACAGTTCACGAATGAGACCATTTTCCATAAGGAATTTGGGAAATGTTGGTGAACATACTTTGTACCATTATCGGAAAAGTGAAAACACATTTAATTATTCTGTCCAATTGTGTTTGAACCATGCCATATAATTAGTTAAATAGTTGCTTCACTTCAAATTTGTCTTCCATTAGAAAAATCCAAGTTACACAAGTACACCCGTCAATAAATGAAACAAATCATACCAGATAATTAGTTAAACAGTTGGTTCACTTCAAATTTGTCTTCCATTAGAAAAATCCAAGTTACACAAGTACACCCTTCAATAAGTGAAACAAATTATTTAGTCCAGAGACATTAGCTCCGATACCAACTCAAAGGAGAAAATACTGAATATTATTTCTTATTTTTAATTGTACAGAATTTATTATATTAAATAGACCTATTTCAGTAATTACTTACTTAAACTAGAGCGAATTCCAAGGATTCAAATCTGTCCTAATATTAAATAACAATCTCCAGTAATTGCATAATTATTCCTTTTGTATTTACAACACAGTAATTTCAACAATATGAACCATTTTGTTGGAGAATATTGTCATTAAAATATACCTAAATGACATGTCGGTATAAATAATATATTTTTCCTTTTATTTGATTTTGTTGAAAAGTGATCCTTTTAGTTTAAAAAATGGACACTTTTTGCAATTGACATACTGCAAGAATTATGACTGAGTTAATGTAATTACGGAAGGGGGCTTTTTGGTTATTGTGCAACTATGTAGCCTAAAAGCATAATCTATTAAATGAATTGCCCAATGAATGGTTTTTATCTTACATGTCCTCGAATAAGAAGTTATTTGTGCGTGAATGTTTGACAAAGTATAGGTCCATTAGTACATTGTGTTGAAATAACTTTGATTATTGAGAGAATGAAGGTGGTGAGGATTGCATTGTATGGCGATCACTTTATTGTAGAGTCTTTGATACAGTGTCAAATAGGTAATCAACGTAAAAGCTTTTGCAATTAGGTGTGAGAATAGAAATGAATTTGTCGTAGAAAAATATTTTACATGAAGACCGATGGCTTGATACTGTTTTCTTTTGTTGTGTTGAGTAAGTATACTGCTGCACTCATTTTTTATGTGGAGCAGTGTTGACCTGGGTAGAGAGATTTCCATACTCAGTAGTCAGTACATAATTGATCAAGTTTAAATCTCTCTTTTTATAGCTACGCCGGATGGACACCTTGCTTTACCTACTGGTTTATCCTCAACGACCTTTGTTGACAACGAAGACAATTGAGCTGGTTAGTATATTGTTTCGTTTTATAATTTCTTTCCGAGTCAAGGGCTCTCATTAATCTCTGCTTTTTTAGGTTGGATATGATAAGCTTGGAGCAGGTCAAAATGCCACGGTAGCTGTAATGAGCTATAGTGGTTATGATATAGAGGATGCCATTGTCATGAACAAGTCTTCTCTTGACCGTGGTTTTGGTCGTTGTATAGTTATGAAAAAGTATGTAATTTTATTTGGTGATTTTATGCTTCTGGTTGCTACATATTTCATTGCCATAGTTTTTAAGGTAGTAGAGTTGAGCTTGATGTTCCCTAATGTATAGGTATACCGTCATCAATCAAAAGTATGCGAATAGCACATCAGATCGAATACTTAGGCCCGATAGAACTGCAGAAAATGCAGGACGTATGCAGGTAATATGTCATAGTAATTATCATTAATTGATTTTACTATGGTTGTTTGCTTAAAATTTAGGTTTAATTTCCCCTTTAATCTGTTGATTAAAGTCGCACATAAGTTTCCATGGATGTTTTTCTGCTTCGTCTAGATACTTGATGATGATGGGCTTGCTGCTCCTGGGGAAATTATTAGACCAAACGACATCTATATCAATAAGCAATCGCCAATTGATACGCGTATTCAAAATACAGGATCTGCAGCAAATTTGCCTAACAAGTTAGTTTTTTTTTTTTTTTTTTTTAACATCTTTATTTGACTGTGGATTGGTTTGTGTTAGATATATGTTGCTTGAAGTTTTTCCTAAATGTTTTCCTTATATCCAGTGCATATCGAAACAATTACCAAACATTTAAGGGTCATGGAGGAGAAGTAGTCGATAGGGTGGTTCTTTGCTCTGATAAGAATAACAACATGTGTATCAAATTTATAATCCGTCACACTCGCAGGCCTGAGGTAAAGTCTTGTTTGGTTTATCATGAGGTAGTGTTCTTGGTTTGAAATAGTGTATTGATTTCTTTATCTGTATCTGTTGCCTTAGCTTGGTGATAAATTTAGTAGCAGACATGGGCAGAAAGGTGTTTGTGGAACAATTGTCCAGCAGGAAGACTTTCCATTTTCCGAGAAAGGCATTTGTCCTGATCTGATTATGAACCCTCATGGGTTTCCAAGGTAAAGCAAATCATTTTATGTCATTTGTCTCCATGAGGTATGTGGGGAACCTATGTAGGAACCCCTCCACTTAGTGTTGGCAAATGATTGAAATAGGGTTTTTTTGTGGTTATTCCAGATGCTTCTCTGTTTGTTGCTTCAATGGCATTGTTTTATTTTTAAAATAATTTATGCTACTCCCAAGCTCTAAGGCCACTTCATAGCCCAATAGCTTTACTATATGCTCAACATTTTCCACCTTGCTTACTGGGAAAAATTTGCTTATGTGCAAGTATATCTTAGAGGCCAGAGATTTCTTGAAAGCAAAGAATAACTCAGCATACCCTCCATAACAAAACGGAACTGGATTCTGAACTTAAAATTTGGCATTATCTTCCACCTTATTAATAAAATCATGACCTTTATAAAATTTATGGCTGTTGTTAGAATATTAGTCTTGATTCATATTTAGCTTATGTTAGACTATTTTTCAACTATACTTGTGACTAGTTAGCAGCTGTTAATTATCTCTGTAATTAGTCCTTTATTAGCTCTTGTTGCTAATGTGCTCATAGTATAAATGAGAGGGCTTTGTGTACACTAGACACAATTTCATTCGAATCCACTCTGTTTTAACAACTGTGAAGGAATTAATATTTTATTGAGCTCTTGAGATGAATTCGTATGGCTTGGGTAGTATGACGATATGTGTTTGGTTTCTATTCATGCCTGAATTTGAGCACTGTTACTGTACATATCTAGTGACGAAGCTAAGTTTGTGAATAGAGCTCAATTATCTATGTAGCACCTAGACCAACACGTGACACGACACTATACGACACTCTAACACGTCAATTCTAAAAAAATTTAGATTTCGACACATTGGGACACATTTTAATATTAAATAATATTTTTAATATATATACTGTATGTTAGATATATATAAAAACCATTAATGTAGCCTCACCCTTTGGCTTAAGCTTTTGGGTTGAATTGGTTTTTTATATGGTATCAGAGCTTCGGTGTCGATCCTCACTGCCCCTCTTAATTAATAATTAATTAAGTCTTGTGGAGTTTTTTAGCACAGGTAGGTGGTCTTGTGCATTGTTCACTCTTCAAGCCCAGTGGGCTTTCGTGTGAAGAGCGTGTTAGAGATATATAAAAATCATTAATGTAGCCTCACCCATTAGCTTATGCTTTTGGGTTGAATTGATTCTTTACAGTGTATATTACATTTTATATTCAGTAATTTAACAAATAAATAAAATAAAAGTGATAAAATATATCAATTTAACCAAAAAAGATTCAAAGAAAATAAATCATTTCCATAATTCCCTTACATTAATATAAAGAAAAAATAATTCATGGAGTATTTTCATCTACAATAACACTTTTTTAAGTTTAAATCATTTTAATTTTTTAAAAATCATAATTTTATTACAAAAATGCCCTTTGACCCTGTCAGACACGGTCAAATTCGCGTGTCGAATTGGTCAATGTGTCTGAAATGCTGACCACGTGTCAGAGCATGTTGAATCGTGACAGAGTGATTGACACAGACACTTCAAGTTTTTTGAAGTGTCCGTGCTTCAAGTAAATTATAATAAGCAAATAGTAACAAGCAAATGGCTGAATATAGCTTCAATTTGTGTTTTTTCTATCTGTGTGCTTAATATGTATACATGTTGGCAGTGTGGGGTGAGATTTTTTTAAATAAATAAATACGTATTTGACATTACTGCATATTCCAAGAGGTAAACTGATTTTTTTTTGTGGTATCAGTCGAATGACAGTTGGAAAGATGATAGAGCTTCTTGGAGGGAAAGCAGGGGTTTCATGTGGAAGGTTTCATTATGGCAGTGCTTTTGGGGAAAGAAGTGGTCATGCTGACAAGGTGGAAACAATAAGGTGTCTTACTTGTCTCTGGTATGACCTTCTTTGTAAAATTTATCCATGTTTGTGCTCTGATGGTTACCTTGCTCTGTCAGTGAAACTCTTGTGAAGCATGGCTTCAACTACAGTGGGAAAGACTTCATTTATTCAGGTTATCATTTTCTGAGACTTATCACTTTAGGTTGTGAATTGAAGCGTTTTGTAAACTCATTTTGAAATTGAGATCGGGTAGTTGCGTTGGATATACATGTATATAATGTATGTATGGTCAAATGTTTAGTTAGGTCCGTGAAGGTATATTTTATATTAATAGTTGAGTACGAAATCATTCTAAGATAGACTTTTGGAATTTTTTGCGTTGTAAGTTTAAAATATCAACAAAAAATATGAATAGTTAATTGCATAGAGCTATTGACGTTCCGATTGTTTATGGTAAGGCATTTGGTTGACTATGTTTTAGATGTTTTGACAATGAGTACGGAGGGAAGAATTTTATTATAGTATATAGTTTATGCTTGTCATTGCACGTCTTTATTGGGGGTTGGGGGGGGGGGGGGGGGATGCCTTTATTTTCAATAGTACCTCTTTGCTTTTAGATCTACTTGAATTCAGAGAGTAAATTTGATTGGATGAAATTGTGTGTATCATAATCCATACAATGTCTCTATATATATTAGTGTTAGTATTAATTATTGTAGAAAAGGGTTTTTTGAATTGCTTGAGAAAATTCTTAGCAGAATCTTCTATTTATGCTTGATTTAGAATCTCTAATATTAGGAAATTATGAATTTACAATCTCTAATATCGAGAAACTAGGAAAAGAAGAAAACTAGGAATCTAGGAAATTAATGAAAATAATACAAATCAAATCCTAATTATTTAGGATATATATATTTCCTAAATGGGAGATATTTGAAGCATTTCTCTAAATAGGAGATACTTTCCAACAATTAGAATGATTGAATGTTGTAAAGAACCAATTCAACCCAAAAGCTTAAGCTGGTAGGTGAAGGCTTTTTAATGGTTTGTACTATTCTGTAACACGCTCCCTCACACGAGAGCTCATTGAGCTTGAAGGGTGGACAATGCACAGGCTCATCTATCTGTGCTAAGAAAATTCCACAAAAGAAAGTGGGAGGCAGTGAGAATTGAACTCGTGACATGAGGCTTTGATACCATGTAAAGAACCAAATTCAACAAAAAGCTTAAGCTGTTGGGTGAGACTACATTAATAGTTTTATATATCTTTAACACGCTCCCTCACAAGAGAGCCCATTGGGCTTGAAAGGTGGATGATGCATCAGGCCTAACCTACCTATACTAAGAAATTCCACAAAGAAATGGGGGCAGCGGGGATTGAACCCAGGACATCGAGGCTCTGATACCATGTAAAGAATCAATTCAACCCAAAAGCTTAAACTGTTAAGTGAAGACCCATTAATGATTTATATACTTCTCTAACACGCCCCCTCACATGAGAGCCCATTGGGCTTGAAGAGTAGATAATGCACAGGCCCACATATCTGTGCTAAGAAATTTCACAAGAGAAAGTGGGGGACAGTGAGGATCGAACCCGTGATATCGAGGCTCTGATACCATGTAAAGAACCATTTCAACCCAAAAGTTTAAGCTGTTAAGCGAAGGCCCATCAGTGGTTTATATAGTTCTCTAATACCCCTTCTCATACGAGAGCCCATTGGACATGAAGGGTGGATAATGCACAGGCTCATCTACATGTGCTAAGAAATTCCACAAGAGAAAGTGGATGACGGTGAGGATCGAATTCGGAACACCGAGACTCTGGTACCATATAAAGAACGATTTGAACTCAAAACCTTAAGGTGTTGGGTGAGGGCTTTTTTAATGGTTTGTATACTTCTCTAACAAATGTCATGTATAATCCAAGTTGATTCCAAACTGATTCTACAACCGCTTTCGGTTGGTGCATATATATTATATGAATCAAGCTTGTCACATTGTAGTTGATTCAAGGACCTCTAAGAGCCTTAGTGAAAATGTCTTCAACTTGATTGTTAGAGTTTACAATTGTTGTTGCAATCTCTTGAGGTTGAATTTTCTCTCAAAAAAAGTGGTAATCAAACTCAATGTGCTTAGTTTTATTTATAAAATACTGGCTTGGAAGATATTTGGCACCGCCTGATTATCGCATATGATTTTCATTTGCTATGATTCAAGAATGATCAATTTTTTGAGCAACTGCTTTAAGCAAATGCGTTCGCAAGTGGCATCTCCCATTTTTTGATGCTGTGCTTATGTACTTGATTTGGCTACCACAATTTGTTTATTGCTTTTCCGCAATATCTCCAAAAAGAACATAGGGCATGTTTGGTGCACGGGATAGGATAAGGCCTGATAGTATAAGACCTGATAGTATAAGGCTTGATTGTATAAGACTTGATTAAATTTTAGTACTATCTAGTGTTTGGCATGATATTGTATAAGATACTATAAGTATAAAATAATACTATCCAGTGTTTGGTAATGCACTGTATAGTACTAGATAGGATAAAAATAAATATTTTTTACAAAAATACCCTTTAATCAAAAATTTATATAATTATTTCAAATGTCATAGGATATTAATTTTTATAAAAATATATTAATTAGTGTGTCTAAAAAATATATTAATTTGTAAAAATAAAAATCTCTAAAATTGATGGTATTCATCTTTACTTCATCTTTTGGAAAACCATTAAACTGTGTATCCACTAATAATCAAATGCCACGAACTGATGTTTCCCTCCGGCATTTGATCAAACACTTTACGCGCATCCTTTATATTGCCATATTTACTGTACATTCTGATGATCCAATCAATCTGTTGTTCAATTCAATGTCCCCTCGAAAGTTCGATCTTCTCAAGAATTCATGAACCTTTTTCCCTGATTCAAGCGACCTTGTATCCTCACATAAATTCAAGAGCTCAACATAAACGCTGTAATCAGCAACAACACCTTGACCCATGAGTTCCAAAACTTGATTGAGCTTACCCTCTTCACACAAGCCCAACAAGTCCACATTCAACGAGCTTCTGGAAAATTGGGCATTTTGATTTTGATGGACCCTTTCATCAAGCCCAGCAAGGGTGAGATAGTAATTCGAAGGCTGAAATACGATTTCGAATTTCAAATGGGTCAAGACGATGGAGTTCCTGTGCTAGGAACGGATACAAGAGAAACCATTGATGTGTGAAGTTTTAGCTCCATGGTTCTGAGATAGGTGTATTGTTACTGCTATGGCGAAAAATATCTACCATCAAACCGACAGGGCAGTTTTTTACTACCAAAGAAAGAAAGCGGGAAGAAGATGAAAGAGGGTTACAGCGGAAGAATGGGGAAGAAGATGAAAGGGGTTACTGTGGAAGAATGGGGAAGAAGAAGAAAAAGGGTAGGAGGGTTACAATGGGGAAGATAAAATGAGTAGAGATTATGTTAATACATAACTCTCTTATCAGGTCTAATCCCACATCCCTAGACCTGATTAAGTTATACATCATTTTGATGTATTAAGGGATCATGTTGCATAAGCTTATACTATACAATGGTTAAACCAAACAATTGAAAATATCATAATGTATAGTATAAGCTTATACTATCAGGCCTTATCCATCATACCAAATAGGCGCATAGTATCCTGAAGTAGAGTGTTTATCTTAGAGAGAGCATGCCTAATCAACATATGTGTAAACTATAAATATCCACATACCCTTATCTTCATATAGTATCTCCCCGGGTGCTTTGGGCCCATCAAAGAGAGAGATATAGCTTAGGGTTCCTCTTGTTAGACTTAGAATACCATGTTTAACATCAGGAGCCAAGAGTGATATCCGTGTCATTCAACTACACGATGGAGGCTTTATTATATAACTGAATGAAAAGGAATTACAAAGAGATATACATGATGCGAGATTTCCTCCCTCGCACTAAACTACTTTATACAATTCAGTTTACAACAAAAACATTTAAAATGGGGTTACAATATATATATAGAGACTCTAACGGGCCTAAATGAATATACCGAAATCTTTGAAATAAAGAAACACTATTCTGGCTATTAAAGGAAACAAACAATTACAAAATTTCCACATTTCCATATTTAAAACAAGCACTAGATCTTCAACAACCAAGATTAGACTTTTCTTCTGGTTTCGGATCTAGATCTCATGTGCCATTAAAGAACATGGCAAACATCTCATCTATCATCGTTTTACAGCAATCTGGATGGGACAATGTTTCATCTATAGTTTTAGGATCTTAAACTAAAGAAAGACTAGAAACAAAGGTATAATGGGGTGGAGAAAGACTCTCATTCCTAAGAAAAGCATAAACTGAGTTAAGATTATAAGTGGTCTGTTTACCTTTTCTAACAACAAATAAGTGAACTGCCTGATGTAAGAATCATGGTAGAGGGAATGACATGCAAAGGCAGTGAGTCATTGGAACATTTTCTGAAACAAAACTGGCACTGATGGTCGGTCAAGGTTGTAAAGAACCAATTCAACCCAAAAGCTTAAGCTAATAAGTGAGGACTTTTTTAATGATTTATATTATTTTCTAACACGCCCCCTTCGCACGAGAGCCCACTAGGCTTGAAAGGTGGACAATGCACAGGACCACTTATTTGTGCTAAGAAAATCCACAAGACTTAATTAATTATTAATTAAATGAGGGGCGGTGAGGATCGAACTTGTGACAACTAGGCTCTGATACCATGTAAAGAACCAATTCATCCCAAAAGCTTATTCTTATAGGTGAGAGCCTTTTTAATGGTTTATATTATTCTCTAACAAAGGTCAACATTGATATGTTATGGGCAATCAAAGGTCAACACTGATATTCTAACAGATTTACTATTTGTGGCCTGGTTTTTAGTGCTTTGCCATGGTTTGTTTCGGGGAAATCCATGACTGATAGATATCCAAAAGCATTTGCATTGATGAGATTTTTTCACTCTTTTAAATGGGCCTTCTCGGATCAGTGTTGAATTGTCAACCTCTTGTTCAGCATTGACAATTAAATATTTAAGTGCTGTTCCTGCAATGTGGTTTACTTTTTCCTATCATCAATCTAATTGGTGTCCGGATTCATTTTTCAGGTATTACGGGTTGCCCATTGCAAGCATATATTTTTATGGGGCCAATTTATTACCAGAAATTAAAACATATGGTAAGAGTGGAGTTCTTTTAAAAAATATTTTCTTTTTCTGTTGATTACTAGAAGAGGTACTATAGCTTATATGTGCTTGTCTGTCTATATCAAGTACCTCATGTACCTACCATAACATACCAATATCCAGTTTGTGGTTGAGAGTGTTGAAATGCCATAAATAAAGTATTTCTGTTTAAAACTGTTTCTCTAAATAAAATATTTTGTATATTTGACTTGAGAATAAGCTAAGAAACTTGAAAATAGACTAGGAATGCGTTTTGTGAATTGCTTGGCGTTTTGTACTCAGCATGCTGATATTTGTATACATGAAGGAATAATTTAGCCTGTATTTGCAAGAACAATAAATAAGAATTGAGCTATTTCCCAAGACCCATGTTTCCAATGCTAAACATATTTCGACTCATCTTGCTTACAAGCACTCTTTAATCTGCATTCCACTTAAGTTCTATGCTTGAGCAAAATTAGATTTCATTTTGGTACTTTAGGATTGCTACATGTAAATTGTATCCATTGGCTTTTGCCTTATCATGGTCTTCTATATTCTGCCCCAAAAAGGGCAACACGTACCTCTGTACAAATATAAGCATGTGATAATGATTGTTGTTGTAAATAGCCTTTGTAATAGTGTTGTAATTAGCCCCACATCTTTCAGATTAGACATCTTTTTATTTGCCTCAGTCTCTATAATAGATGATGTGCATTGGAATTAGTTAATAATGTTATTGAATCCATATTTTCCCCATATTTCAAGTTGGTTTTGGAACTCCCAATAGATGATGTACATTGGAATTAGTTAATAATGATATTGAAGTATTCCTTTTTCTATCAGTTGTAACTTGCCCATGTATTCATATCAATAAGTTCACAAGCTAACGCTGTGGTGATGATCAGGTGCTCGATAAGATGCATGCTCGTGGTAGCGGTCCTCGTGTCATGTTAACCAGACAGCCTACTGAAGGGAGAGCTAGAAATGGAGGTTTTCAATTTATACTTTCTTCATATGTTTTTCAATTTGTGACATGTTGCTAAAATTTGGTGTTACTAGAATAACTGCTCCCATTCCCCCACCTTCCTGGAACATTATTTGGTTGAACTCGATTTTCATTTTCTGCTATTCTGTTCCATTCTATTTTTAAATATTTTGGAGATAAATGTTTTTTGATACTTGTAGCTTCAATCTACACTGTTTTATCTATTTTTTAGTTTATGTATATAGACTACATAATTCTAGTATTCTACTACCCTTCATGTCCAATGCAAAATTTAATTATACGAGTCCAAGTAAGCCCACCAAGCCTATGATGAGAATACTCAAATAAAAGAAAATATTCTGTAAGATCTCCATTATAGAGAATGGGTTAATGGTCGAGTTTGACATCACTCTTTTTCTTATAATTGATTTCAGGTCTACGGGTTGGAGAAATGGAACGCGATTGCTTAATTGCGTATGGTGCTAGTATGTTGATTTATGAGCGACTCATGTTATCTAGTGATCCTTTTGAAGTTCAGGTAATAATCTTGCCTTTTGTGTTAATATTGCATATCTGCAGTTTGTTTGCATTTCAGCAATGGCGCACCTATATCGAGTTTTGTTTCATTTCAAGGACCCATAACTGGTCCAATGGTTTACAGTATAAACGGAGAAGACATTTTCGTAGACAATTGGGTTCAATATATTAATCCTACTTTTTTTTTGTCACTAAGCACTTGACTTTATTTTGAAGTTTTTGAACTTTGTTTTAGTGCTGAAAAACATGGCTTTCTTGAAGGATTATATTGCAGTTTTTGCTTTGTAATCCATTAACGTAACAAATCTAAAAATCTGCTCTGCCATGCCCCTCATCCAAATTTTAGCCTCTTATAATATTGGCTTGGTTATATGTCACTGTTTGGTAGAGGAGGGAATAGAGGGCGAAAATCAAGCATTGGTAAAACTGTTTCCTTGTCACTTTGAAAAATAACGAGTTCGAAATCAGGAAACTGCCGCTTTGCAAATGTACAAGTGGTTATTATTATTATTATTATTATTATTATTATTATCCGTATCCAAATGAAAAAAAACAGGTTGCTGGGTTTATTCTAATATTCATCCATGGTCAATGTCTGTACAACAATTGGAAGTTAATTTGATTTTGATTTGAAAAATTGAAATCATTGTTCTCTACAAAAGTGGCTAATGATACATTACTTCTTACACAGGTGTGTCGAGCGTGTGGGTTGTTAGGATATTACAACTATAAGCTGAAAACTGGTATTTGTTCGTCTTGTAAGAATGGAGACAATATTTCTACCATGAAGCTGCCATATGCATGCAAACTCTTGATTCAGGTATAGCAGTGTTAGAATATCATAGAATTTATGGTAGCATATCTTGTATATATGATAGAATGAATGACAAGCATTCTTAGAAACTAATTTAGGAAGGTAGTATATTTAGAATTGAATCACTGTGATTAATACTAACATTAATACAGATAGAGACCTTGTGAGGAACCTTATGCCTTTTAATGTTTATCCTCTTTTCATGAAGCTTTTTTCTAGTAGTCGCCGGTATCAGAATATTTCCAAAAAGTGCTTATGCCATGAAGAGTTTATTATTATTATTTGTGATTTTGTCTTCCTTGTTTTTGTTTATCAATTTAATTTGGTTCACAAAATTTTCAGGAACTCCAATCAATGAATATTGTTCCCCGCTTAAGACTGGCAGATGCGTAAGATGATCCTGTTGTGTGGAATGCATGTTAGTGATGGGTGAATACAAGGCAGAATATTGCCATTGGCCACTAAACCATTTATGAATTTTTGTTGATCCTTTGTATATTAGTGTTGTTGCATATTGTAAAAAAACAAAAATTCATTTATAATTATTTAGTTCATTTTAATATCAAAATTGAATTTCATGATATGTGACGTTGTTTTCTGTTGAAGTTAATGGTGTTATTATTATGTCAAGTAAAAAATTTAAAACGCTAATTGATACAAAATAAATTTTAATAGCCAATGAGATACCAAATAAAGACATTGGCGGATGCAATGTATTTTTCTTGAAAACCTCCAAGTTTGATAAGCTTTTTCTAAACTTTAGATTATTAATTTACGCTGAATGTAACCTGAATGTTTTTACTAAAATGCAAATTTTATTACATTTCCTCAATTCCTAATCATCAAATATTAGGCAAAGATAGAGCATTTATTCTTGCGCGGTGGATGTCAGAAACAGAACCGTGAAACATGTATTGATAATATTTTTACTTTTATAGATTACAGTGTGGAACTGAGTTGAGAATATTGATGACTAATCAATTAAGCTAATTCATGAAAATTTTGATTGATATTATATTTCAACCATACTGTCTTCTACATGCAGAAAGAGACATTTTTACAGGATATAAGCTACTTTAGTTCAAATCAAGTTTGTTTCTTGATGTCTCATTTTGATACAATAAAAACTTTATCCTATGATCTTCTGGACATTACCAAAATTCCCTTGCCACTATTCTACTGGCTTTCATGTCATTTTTCTATAGTATAAAGAGACATGCAAAGCAGCAAAAACATTCAATCTGGACATTGCTGTAGTACCCTTGTTTAAGGTGTTGTCCTATTTTTCTGGGGTCATCACCTGAAACAAAATATAAATAATTGAAGTTTGGTTAATAGTGAGTGAGTAAACTGATTAACCTTTCTTTATAGCAAATGCATAGTGAACTTAACAAAATGAAAGAGGAAAGAAGAATCATACCCTATATTTGAGAGGCTTAGATTTTGTTTCCTTGTCTGCATGACTGATACCAGATTTTCTAGCATTTACCACTTTCTCTACCATTTTGCTTCCTCTAAAATGTGCTTTAGTTTCATTATCACCTGCTGCTAGAGTAAATTTATCTTTTTGTGTCTTCAAATTTTTCTGGGTTTTGTCTAACTGGTTCCAACCACCATTAGACACACTTGGTGATGGTGACCTTGATGGTCTACATGCTCTTGGAGTAGGATCCTGGTTTTTAAGCCCTACAACTGTAGATTCTCGAGTAGTGCTTCTTCCTCTTGTAGTAGAACTTGACCTCTGATCTGTCCTTAGATTTGGTGGTGCCTCATTTGAAAGTTGTATCATATTCCCTGTAACCCTTTTTGATGGTGACCTTGATGGTCTACATGCTTTTGGAGTAGGGTCCTGGTTTTGATACCCTACAACAGTAGATGCTGGCGTAGTGCTTCTTCCTCTTGTAGTGGAACTTGACCTCTGATCTGTCCTTAAATTTGGTGGTGCCTCATTTGAGAGTTCTACTATATTACCTTTAACCCTTGACCTCACTGATGGAGAAACACCTCTAGGTTTAGGCTTTCTCTGAGATTCATTTGCTTCTGTGCTTTTCTTAAGATTCAAAGCAAGGAAATCAGCATTGTTGGTATGCTTTGGGAGAGTAGATTTAGTGTTGCTGGCAGCATCATGTTCTGTTTTGGCATTATTGCCCTTGTTGGTAATAGTAGGATGAGTACTTGATTGTTGTTCATTTATATTCTTAATGATGCTTGGTCTCTGTCTGTTATGACTTGGGGTTACTGATCTCAGAGGAAGTTTTGCTTTAGTTGAATTTGTATGATTTGCTTTTCCATCTATTGCTTTGGGTTTTACTGCCTCCACATCACTCCATGCAAACTATACAGTCAAAACCAACCTTTATATAATAAGTTTGGACTTTGGAGAAACACCAAAATCTTAATCCACTATGGATACACCTTTACTTCTTTATTTTAAAAACAAATTCATAAAGGGGGAGTTTCCTTTACAAAATCTACTTGCTAGCACTTCAATTAATAAGGTCAAATCAATTACCAATTTCTATTGGTATGTTACATATACATCTTAATGCAAGAAATTTTATATTTACCTAAGAATTCATTCCATCTCTATAAACATCATCATCAACTACATATTTATCCCTAACTAATTGGCGTCAGTGGCAGATGAACTCATTTCATCTTTATAAAATCGAACAAAAAATAGATTTGTACATCATCAATTGGCAATTAATGAATGAGTTCAGAGACATACTCTTGAGATAGGCTGAGAGATTGGTATCTCTTTTTGAGTGACAAGTTGAGCACTGGGTTCCATTTCTAGGGATGGAAACAAAGGAGTTGCAGGTGGTGTTTTCAACCTTTTTTGCACATGAAGAGGCCAAGTTATTTTCTTTTCTTAAGAAAGCAAATAATCATTCTAAAAGTAAGATCTTTCTTTGTAGAATGCAAGATGGTTCCAAATATGTATGCATACGTATGAAACTTACCAATCATAGTCATTTTTGTTTGTTTCCAGAAACTCAAGTCCATATTCTTTCTTTCCTGAAGGAATTTTATAGAGTGAAACCTTTCCTGCAATAATATTTTTCTTCCGTTAGTACTATAACCACTAACCCTCACACTTAAAACTTCAATAGCAAATCTAAGAGTCAAAAAGAGTTTAAATTCATAAAATCACAAACATAAGAGTAATATAAAAAATCATTTCCCATTGAACCGAGGCGAATCCTTATACACAGTTTTACTTTTAAATAATTATAAAGAGGTTCTTTTTCGAATTTGAACCCGTAACCTTTCAGTTATATACATTATAATTGCTACATACTTGCCCTCAAAGGCAATATTAAATCTTAAAAAAAAATAAAAATGATTTAGGAGTACCCACCACTAGTACCATTAGAGTCACATTCATAATCTTCAGAAGCACAGTGCATGAGGCTGGAGATTCGTTCATTCTGGCGCTTCCGCAATTCCCTGAAAAGAGTGAGGTCCTCATCTCGGTCCATTCGCCCTTTCACGTTGGAATGCATCATTACCTTAGCCATTCTTTGATGCTAATAATAATAATAATGATGCTAACTTACCCATTTTAATAGATTCTTTTTCTTGTGTTCGGGTGATTCTTAGTGTTGCAAACGACAAAAAAGAAATTTAATGGTTTGCGTCAAGAGAGAATTTTTTGCCATGTGGAACTCTAGCCGGCTATTTCAATTTAACACATTAAATAATGTTACGTCACCTTCGTTATAAAATATTATTCTTGTTGAGCAATGTTGATTTGCTTGGAAGAAGTCTAAGCCGGATCAGCTCTCTAGCTATAAGATTTTTTCTTTGGACAACAAAAGATAAAACAACTAATTTGGGACTTGAGGACCTTTTTTTTTTTTTGGGGGGGGGGGGGGGGGATAGTTTGTTGGAAGTTGAATGTTATGTTAAAAATATTATATTTATTTTAACAAAAGTTACATAAAAAAAAAAAAAAAAAAAAAGTTGAGCAAGACATGACTACAAAGATATAAAAGAATTGAAACATATGTTGGGACATGATTCCTCAAATAACGCAGAAGCGTAATAGGTCAGTAAGTCTAGCTCACAGCTCGGCTCTTGGAGATTGGCCTAAAGTCAACAAGTCGGACAATACGTGAAAATAGGAAATGCAAAAGAAGAGAAATGAAGAAGAAAAACATAGCAAGTTTTAATGTGGAAAAACTCCCATAATGTAAAAGTAAAATCCACGGGACCTGGTCAAAACAAATCTTCCACTATGAAATAGTAGGATTACAATGAGTCAAGCTTCCCTAATACCACTAGATGTTCTCATTCAAATTTCACTAACAATGGTCGTTATTAAATTCTTCTCTAAAGAGGTCAAACATTCAAACTTCTCTACAGAGGATTCTCACTCAAAAACTTATCTCAGGTAACCATTTCAAAGGGTTTTACATTTCTTTATGTAAGAGAAGTGAAACCCTTCACCTCTTTATAGAATCTACATCATAATAAAGTGGGTAGCATTTATTGAGGTGATTGTTCAAACATTGAGACATGAACCCATAAATGTGGTGCATGCTTAGCCACCAAGCATTAAATGGCGGAACACATCCCAACAAATCTTCCCCTTCCGACTTTAATGCGTCGGGTTCAGCAGCTCAGCATCCATGTAGCAGTCTTCAAATTTTCTTATTGGTACCGGCTTGGTCATCAAGTTGGACCAATTTATGTTAGTGTGTACCTTGATGAGTTTGAGTTGTTTATCCTCCAGCACATCTCGGATCCAGTGATATCTCACGTCAATGTGTTTAGTGCGAGAGTGATAGGTTGAGTTCTTCGCCAAATGAACAACACTCTGATTGTCATATTTTAGCTCGTATTTGTCTTGCTTATGGCCGAGTTCAAGGAGGAACTTCTTCATCCACATCATCTCCTTGCAGGCTTCAGTCACGGCTATGTACTCGGCCTCGGTTGTTGAAAGTGAAACACATTTTTGTAATTTCGATTGCCGAGAGATAGATCTTCCCACAAAAGTCATCAAATAGCCCGTCGTCGACTTTGTCGAGTCGGCATCTCCCTATAAATTAGCATCTTTTAAAGTCTTCCATCTCAGCTTTACCTTCTCCAAAGCAGAGGCATAAACTTATCGTTCTTCGGAGATACCTGAAGATCCTTGATAGCTTCTCAATGTTCCATGCCAGGATTAGACAGGCATTGACTCACTAATCCAACAACATATGCCAGTTCGGGTCTCTTACACACCATTGCATACATCAAGCTTCCGATGGCTGACTGGTACATGATCTTCAACATCTTGTCCTTTTCTTTGTCAGACCTCAGAAATTGCCTTTGGCTCAGCTTCATGTGTCTGGTTAAGAGGGTTCTTACAATCTTGGTTTTATCCATGTTGAATCTCTTCAAAATTTTCTCAATGTATTTTTCTTGAGAAAGCTACAGTAATTTTCATTGAGAAAGCTACAGTAATTTTCATTGACAATCTCTTATGATCTTGATTCCTAGTATTTCATTGCAAAGGATGTACTCAATGCTTTCTTCAGGGCAACTATTTTTGTCTTATCTCGCCCTACAATTAGCATATCGACAATATATAAAAGAAAAATAAGAAAGTTTTCGCCTCTACATTTTAACAAATATGAAGTAGTCAACCTCTGTCTTCATGAATTTATGCTCAGTCATGAAGTATTAAAACTTCTTATAATATAGACTCTTTTTCAATTGGCAAACCAGTTCTTCTTTACCTGGAGCTCACAACCTTTTAGGTTGCTCCATATAGATCTCTTTTTCAAGGTCGTTGTGAAAGAATGTGGTATTAACATCCTTCTGTTCAACTTCAAGGTACGTTGACACTACCACAGCTAATACTGTTTGAATCAAAGTCATCATAGCAGGAGAGAAAATTTCTTCCAGATCTACTTATTTCTTTTGGTTGCATCCTTTCACCATAATTTTGGCCTTATATCTCGGCCTTTGATTGTTCTCCTCATGCTTAATTTTATAAACCCACTTGTTTTTCAGGTATCGCCTTCCTTTTTGCAACTCGGTCAACTTATATGTCTAGTTTTCATGCAAAAACTTTATCTCGTCCTGCATTTTGCTTTCTCTCATTTTTTCTTCTTAGATCTCGTCATAGCCTTAGCATAATTCTGGGGTTCTCCATCTTCATCAACAACTATATATTCAACTATATATTCATCGTGTGGGTATCTTTTGGAAGGTTTCTACAAAAGAGGTGAATGGTTTTACCCTACCTACATAAGAAATGTAAAACCTTTGAAATGGTTACCTAAGCTTAGACTTTTGTAAGAAATCTCTAAAGAGAAGTTTGAGTGTGAGACCTATTTAGAGAAGAACTTTGTAACCACCATTGTCGGTGAAGATTGAGTGTACCTCTAATGTGACTAGGTGTAACGCCCCATTTGCAATCGGTTAGTTAACATATAATATGGTATTTAAAGCACATCATACTTAAATAAAGTAGTGGAAGACTTATTAAAAGTATCATAGTATCCTATATAGCTATGTGACTTAACTTTATCTTTTCGTTTCCTTTATGTATTGCCATGGCTAACTTATATTTTTTATTATCTTAATCCATACAGTCCCATACCTACACACGATTCTCACTTTATATTCATGTGACCATAATTAATGATCAATGACTATTCGAATATGATAACTTTTACCATTCTGGATATAATCTTACGGACAACATAACTGCTGCAAACTGGACAATCCAGGGATCATATCCCACAATCTTGTATAGTACCTGAAATCCAGAAAAGTCCAGTTCAAACACGTACCAAAAGAGTCCATCATATAAGGACCTATAATCCATCCATGGATTCATACAGATAATGTGTAATATTCCAGAAAAATAGTAACAATAAAATTAATAATAAAAATAATAGTAATAATAGTAGTGTGTACCCTTATCTATGGTGTTATATGCATTGATTGCTAATAATGTGTCATAATTTGACTTGTAACCTTAATTAGTGGTGGTTTTAGTTGTAACGTTCAACAATTATGGTTGGTTATCAAGTAATTAGTAAATGCCAACAGTTATTTAATTAATTTTGTAACCATTAAGATATTAATAATAGTTACAATAATTACGATGACCATTGATTTTACCTGCAGTTTTTATAACTAAAATAAATGTGATAACCATTGATATTACCTGTAGTTAATGTCTCAGTTACAAAACTACAACTATAAATAGGAGCTTAACCTAACAAACCAAATCACTTCCAATTCTCAGCATTTCTCCATTTCTCTTCTCCTCTTCTTCTATGTCTTCTCATTTCAAATTTTTTTTTTTTTGCCTACCAATTGCGCTTCTCTTCTCTAATTGTTTTTCCACCTAGAAGTCATCAAACACGGAGACCAGGTAATCCTAATCCCTAGGTGGTTGTAGATTTATTGTGTATGAAATTTTATTGGGTGTGTCCTATTCCTCTAGAAATAATAGATTAACTTTTTTATGAAATTTTATCTAAAGTAATCTTGACCTTTAGGGAATAATATATCCGTTTTATATAAATTTTTATTGACCTAATCCAAATCTTTAGGTAACAATAAATTAACTTTAAAGAAACTTGTTATGATCCTGATATGTAAGGAGTAATAAATTAGTTTTATTAATTTAAATTTTATTACATGTAATCCTAGTCACTAGAAGTCGTAGGTTAATTTTATATGAATTTTGATAATGTAATTATGATCCTAAATATATCATAGGGTTGTCTAATATGAAATGTGTTATATATAATCCTAATTCCTAGAGATAATTTGATAGGGATAAGGTGATTCTGATATTTAGGGAGTGAGATATATATATATATATATATATATATATATATATATATATATATATATAAAAGTAATCCTAATCCCTAGAGATAGGTTAATTATATGAATATTGGGTTTAATTTTTAGTTTAATTATATTGTTAGGAACTTTATTGGGTTCTAAACCCAACAAAATAATGGGATTAATTATATAATTATCTTTGAGGAATAATTCAAATTTTTGAAAATTATGATTATGGTATCTTTTGGAAAATTAATTATGTGCCGTATATGTGTGATATGGATCCTATTGAATAATTGTGGCAATTATGATTTTGATACCTTGGAAAATTATGATAATTGATATGATGAGTGGATTTGGGCTTTCTGTGATAGATGTTGGATATTTGAGTTATGATATTCTTGAACAAATTGAAAAAACTATGATGAAGAATAATTGATATGATAGATGTTGAAAAATTATGATGATGGATAATTGATATGATTTGGGCATTAATTTTTTATAGATGTTGGAAAACTATGGATAATTGAACAATTATGATGCCCTTGACTTGAGCAACTGATATAGAAAGTATAATACTTAAAGAAAGTTTTTTTCCCAAATATGGTAATTATGACAAGATTGAATTTTCCTGATTGTGTGTTTTTGTAATAAATTAATGGTGGGAAGATAGCTTTTAGGATGGTACCTCCTGAAAGTGATGAACACAACCTTTAGACTT